TCAGGTAGGGGGGTGTGGTTTAACTCAAGATTGTTCGCAACTTAACTGGTTTAACTTGGGAACATGGTTGGCATGGACTGGTTGGACTGAAGGGTCTGTTTTCACTCTGTGACCATGACATGGTATGAAAAGGAGAGGAAAAAGCAAAAATCCAAAAGAGACACCGGCCAAGCAGCTCAGAACAACAATCACAAACCAATGAAAAATGCAGAAAGAATTAAAAGGGGACACCGTGGTACTGTTAGTAATTCAAAGATAATGTGGTTGAGTAAAACACAACGAGGCTCATTACTATCTCTCTCTCTCTGTCTTTCTCTATTATATATATCAACATTGATATACAGATTACATTCTCACTCTGGGTACAAATTTAGAAATAAACTTTAGCAAGACATTGGTAGGAGGCCTAAAGAGCAATAAAGGCCAAACCATGGTTTTGAGGAAAGGGAATAAACCGATATGGAAAGAAGTTTGTGATGAGGTCAGTGTCCTGGAAATGGGAAAGTAAGATGATTACCTTTTCCTGAGCTGGCTGGGGGTGGATTGGTGTTCACAAGATTTCAGCAAAATCTAGGCCATAGCCATCAAGGTCCCAGTCTGATTTGGAAATTTAGATGCGAATATTGCCATAGAAGCTACAAACACTTTAGACACTGTCATTTTTACTCAAAATGCCATGTCTGTTAGAAAGTTGGTTACAGCCAGACAGCGTAAAGGAGCAGAGAAAACAATAATGTTCTATGTCATACTTAGGATAATAGTAGAGATAAAGCTAGGTCAGGTACTGGGAAGTCCTTAAATGGTGTATGGGATAGATTTGGAAAAGGAAGTTGATGAAGGTGTTCAGCAGGAAGATTAAGAATCGTACTCAGTCAAAGATCAAGGAGAACAGTAAATAGAAGTTAGACTAATAGGGCTGAGGATGTAATTTTAGCGCCTACAGTAGAAAGTCAAACATTCACAACTTTTATCATTGCTGTATTGTTGAATGCTCAGATGGAGAAGACAAGAAGTCCGTAAGTCACATTCCCTTGTGAAAACTGCTGTGAAATAGACTAGTTATTTGTTATTATTTGTTACTGGTTATTTGAATAACAGTGTTCTACTGTGAGGCAAGGTTAGTACTGCAGGGGCATATTATAATAAATCAACATGATCTTATTAAATGGCAGAACAAGCTCGAGGAGCTGAATGGCCTAATCTTGATCCTTGTTCAAATGTCTATATGTCCATCCTACTACTTTTCGTTGATAGTGATTGGAGAGAATTAAGTTTTGCTATACAAAGGAATTAGCTGAAGAAATTACAGTTAAACTAGGCTGAGTTATTTACAGTACAATCAATAAGAATACATCTGACAGCAAGAAAGTACTGAGAAAGCACAAAGTGATCTTTGAGCAAAGAAGACCAAATTATAAAATTAGACATCCGTACAAGATCAAATCTTATAAGTCAGCAGATAATGCAAATGCTGGTGATCTTTTGAGATTTCCAGTGAAGACTGATACAATTTTAGCAACTGACATACCTGTGAATTAATTTACAGAAGTGATACTCCTGTGTTTGGTAGAGACATTAGAAGAGAAAGAATATTTTGTTCAGTAAAGTGCTCAATGATGTTATTGAACAACTGGCCTAAAAATTGAGATTATGCAAAATTGCAGGAATATCTCACACTTAGAAATGAGCTGAATGTAAATCAAGGCTGTATCAATTATATCGCTTAAGAGTCATTATAAGGTTTAGAGAAAAACTGTTAAAGGAATTTCACTAAGAGCACATGGAGATAGTTGTAATAAAAGGAGCTATTATTGCTATACAGAATAGACAGCAACATTGCAGAGCTGGTTGAAATATTTTTAGTAAGAATTGAGTCAAACATATTTTAATATCACCGTACGAGACAGCATCAAATGGTGCTGCAAAAAGAAGTGGACAGATAGTGAAGAGATTCTTGCAGAAGGAGAATTGGCACCAAATCCACGAGCATCCACTGTCCCTATCATCATTGCTCAGAAGCAGCTGTGTACTATCTACAAGATGCACAGCAGAAATTCACCAAAGATCCCTGGACAAGACCTTCCGAACCCATGACCAATTCCATCTAGAAAGATAAGGACAGCAGACACATGGGATTACCTACCACCAGGTTCCCCTACGAGTCACTTACCATTCTGACTTGGAAATATATTGCCATTCCTTCAGTGACGCTGGGTCAAAGTCCTGGAATTCCCTCCCTAACGCCATTGTGGGTCAAACTAGAGCATATAGACTGTAGTGGTTCAAGAGGTAGCTCAAACACCACCACCACCACCACCTTCTCAAGGGCAACTAGGGATGGGCAATAAATGCTGACCCAGCCAGCGACAACCATGCCCCACTAATGAATTTTGAAAAAAGTACTCCTTGGGTGTTAAGCTAGATGGTTAGTTATTATTTTCACATTTCTCATTGTCACAGGCTAGACAATTTTCTGTTCTTTTCCTAAAAATTGCCACAGTTCACAGTAGTCTTTCCGCCTCACAAGTTAGTGTTCAAACACACTCCTTGGATGAGGTTTAGTTTGCTTAAGTCTGATAAGGTTAGCAAAGTAAGATGAACACAAACATTACCACAGTGAAGATGAATCATGACATGTCAGGCATTAAATGTAGTTCCATGCTAGTTAGAAGATCCTGATGAGAAACCATTGTGTTGTTAAGGAGAAGTGTGTGATTGGATGAATGCAGTTTTTTATAAAGATACAAGATGCATCTACATATCATGTGAAGATTGGAGAGAGACTCTGTCAGTGTCATGGAAATTATTTGCTCGAAAGAGGAAATTTGACAAAGATAGCATGATAGTTCTACCATCATCTAAATTCTTTCCATGGCCCAAAGTGAAATTCAAAAATATACAGAAGATTTGCTGGCGTGACAGAATCTGCCAGCAGAACAAAGTGAGTCAGGATTGTTAATTAAGACCAATCAATGAATATCTCATGCTATACCCAACCAATAAATGTAGTTGGTATTCCAATTTACAGTTCAAGGTTAACACAGAAGTGTTGAGGCAATGCTGTTCTGCTGATGGATGATGATGTTCTGATGATGAAGATAATCAAGATGTCAGTTAATTGAAAGTCTGTGGGAAAGAAGAGAAACCTTGCTCTTTATGTCTTGTCAAATGATAATGCTTTCAATCAAGGTGTAGTGCTGCTAATGAAAAGGCTTATTTTATATACATATAAATTATTCTAGTAATTTTGATCTATATATTTTGATTGTGTAAATTTCTGTTATTGTTGATGTTAGTTGAGGTCATATTCTTTCTGGGAAATTATGTACATGTGCAATTTTACATTTTAATGTGAATTTTTTTTAAGTAGGGTTGGAATATAAAGTATTGCAAAGGATTAGCATTTTGCTTCTTTGTTTTCACACATGAGAGGTGTGCATTGCTGGCTGGGCCAGCATTTATTGCCCATCCCTAATTGCCCTGGAGAAGGTGCTATTGCGTTACTTTCTTGAACCACTGTGATCCATGGGGTGTGTGAATATCCACAATGCCGTTAGGAAGGGAGTTCCAGGATTTTGACCCAGTGACAGTGAAGGAACAACGATATATTTGCAAGGTAAGATGGTGAGCGACTTGGAGAGGAATGATGGTGTTGCCATGTACCTGCTGCATTTGCCGTGTTCATGGATTTGGATGGTGCTGTTGAAGGAGTCTTGGTGATATGTACTAACTCTCTGTTGGGGAGGTTTAAATGAAGTTTGTGCAATAATGTTTGAGCGTTTAGTTTATCTGGTTTTTAATGAGGTCGTAGTTTGCAGAACATGTCGACTAGTCTCACTGACTACTGATTCATTCACTTAAATATGCAAATGGAGGACCAGCCCTAGAGTCACAGGGATGTATAGCATGGAAACAGACCCTTCAGTTCAATTTGTTCATGCCAACCGGATTTCCTAAATTAATCTAGTCCTATTCCACCTTTTGTCCATAATCCTCTCAACCTTTCCTATTCATATTCCCATTCAGATGCCTTTTAAATGTTGTAATTGTACCAGCCTCCACCACTTCCTCTGGCAGCTTGTTCCATACACGCACCACCCTCTGCATGAAAAAGTTGCCCCTTACGTCCCTTTTAAATCTTTCCCCTGTCACCTTAAACCTATGCTCACTAGTTTTGGACTCCCCTACTCTGGGGAAAAGGTCTTGGCTATTCACTCTATCTATGACTCTCATGATTTTATAAACTTCCATGAGGTCACCCCTCAGCCTCTAACACTCCAGGGAGAATAACCCCAGCCTATTCAGCCTCTCCCTATAGCACAAACCTTCCAACCCTGGCAACATCCTTGTAAATCTTTTCTGAACCCTTTCAAGTTTAACAACATCTTTCCCGTAGCTGGGAGGCCAGACTGGAATGCAGTATTCCGAAATGGCCTAACCAATGTCGTGTACAACCACAGCATGACTTCCCAACTCCAATGCTCGATGCACTGACCAGTAAAGGCAAGCATACCAAACACCGCCTTCACTATTCTGTCTACCTTTTGAGGAACTGTGAATCTTCACTCCAAGGTCTCTTTGATTGGCAATGCTCCCGAGAGCCTTACCATCTAGTATATAAGTCCTGCCCTGATTTACCTTACCATAATGCCATACCACACATTTATCTAATTTAAACTCCATCTGCCACTTCCTGGCCCATTTAGTCAAGGTCCCATTGTACTCTGAGGTAACCTGCTTGGCTGTCCACTACACCACCAATTTTGATGTCATCTGCAAACTTACTAACCACTTCTCCTATATTCACATCCAAATCATTTATATAAATATACGAAAAGCAGTGGACCCAGCACAGGTCCTTGTGGCACACCACTGATCACTACCAGAATAAAATAATAAACCATCGTTTGTTTAAACAAAGCTGAAGGCAGCATGTGGGGGTTTGCTGTGAGAATGTGTATGTGTGCAGAATTTTAATTTGCATGTGTTGTGTATTTCAGTCAGGATTGTAACACCAGCCTGGTGCGAGCCTGCTGGAATGAGCTGTTCACTTTGGCCCTGGCACAGTGTTCTCAGGTCATGAATCTCTCTACTATCCTCACTGCGATTGTAAACCACCTGCAGAGTGGCCTGCAGCAAGGTGAGTGCAAGCACTGTCAAAACCAATAGCATGAGCTGCAATTTACGAGAGTACTTCCTGAGCTCAGTCAGATGAAGGCCAGAACTGATCAGGCTGTATTCTGACCTGGAGTGTTGTAGCCAAGAGTTGTGTTGAGCCACCATTTATGTGACGTCCAAGGTCAGAGGAAGCCCAGGTACATGAACTAGAAGTATTTATTTAGGATGTCCGTCTTAAGCAGGGGGAATCTTCTGATCAAAATCCAGCTCAAACAGCCATAACTTCATGAGTCATTCACAAAAGTCTCCAGTCACACTGACATTTTTCCCTCCTGCAAATCGTTGATGCTGGGCTCCAGTGGGAGTGTGTACTATTGGGAATCAGGTGCCAGACCCAGAGCTGCCACCCATCCTGAGGTTGAGATGACGGAGAGAGGAAAAGGCTGTAATTGAGGAGGGGTGAATGATGCAGAGATGAAAAAAAAACAGAGACACTAAGATTAAGAAGGAAAAAAAGGAGACAGAAAATTACTGTTGTGGAGAGAAGAGAGATGGTTGGAGAGAGTGAAACTGGGTATGTGGGAGAGTGGTAGCTGAACAGGAGGACAAGCATGTTGGGAAGGGCGACAGTCAGCAAAAGAGAGAAAATTGTGTTGAGAAAAGGAGGGAGAATGTCAGGTTGAAGAAAGAAAGAATTGGAGAATGATTTGGGACAGAAAGAGACTGAGTTCATGGGAGAGACAGAGAGGGGAGATGATGTTTCCTTGTGCAGATAAACAAGTAATTCATTAACTTCCATTGTCCAAATTTTTTCAAATTTTTCAGGCTTCAGTTATGCCTTCAGCAGCACACCATTTTGCATTTTAAATGTGCATGTATTTTTGTGAAGGAAATGTAGAAGTTTAAAATTGGAAGAGGTGTTTATAGACACAGCCTGATCCAATTAATATAACTCAAATGTTACTTCATCTGATGGCTACATTTTGTCAGGAGGTTTTGGCAAGCATTAGCACGATCTGTCTACTATAAATCAATGGTATACTTTTTGAATATATTTTATACATATATATTTTTGGGGAATGGCCAGTGGTATTATGGCTGGACTATTAATCCAGAAACCCGGATAACGTTCTGGGGACCCGGGTTCAAATCCCGCCTCGGCAGATGGTGGAATTTGAATTCAATACAATATCTGGAATTAAGAATCTAATGATGACCATGAATCCATTGTTGATTGTCAGAAATGCCCACCTGGCTCACTAATGTCCTTCAGGGAAGTAAACTGCCAACCTTACCTGGTCTGGCCCACATGTGACTCCAGACCCACAGCACTGTGGTTGTCTCTGAACTGCCCTCTGGGCAATTAGTGATGGGCAATAAATGCTGCCTAGCCAATGATGTCCTCATCCTGTTAATGAATAAAGGATATGTTTAACATACCTTGAACATTGATGCCCTTTCTATTAACTGTCTACGATGAAAGGGTTCAGACCTGAAAGGTAAGCTTACTTTTTCATTCCCTCTCTGCAGAGGCTGCTGACAGGTGTGACATGGGAGGAATGCCTTTGAATTTCATCAAGATTTTTAAGGTTTGCACCCTCTGACAATCAGCTGCTGTGATGCAGAGGGAGAATGTTTCACGTCATGTCTTTGTCGGGGATTTGTGTAAGGAAAATGCACTCTGGCCTGCAGCGAGGTCTCAACTGGCCATAGAGGGTATTTCTGGGGGGAATGGATACGCTCAGAAACTGACACATACTTATTGTGTATTCACCCAGGCAATACACTCCACCCACCCCTCACTGACAGTATGCAACCTGGCAAGATACCCCTCCCCCTGCTGGATTCAGCCAAAACCCCCCTGGCAGTACTAACCCTCTCTCTCCCCCGCCTTGTCAATATCTCTCCCTCCTCACCATCAACAGTAATCATCCTGGCAATTATAGGAGGAGCTCATAGGTATTTTCTGCGCAACTTGCTTTGGAGTAACTTAGAGATAAGGAAGGTGAGGTAGTTGAGCGAATTGGAAAAGAAAATGTTAATTTTACAACCAAGGCATTACTTAATTGGGAACAGCGCAGGGACAGCCATTTGTAGGTCAAGCAAGCACAGAGGCAATAGGAGTTAGTGAGAGTTAGACTAAAGGGGCAGCAGAGAGCTTTAGCTAAACTTTACAATTAGTACTGCATGTTGAACAGGCCAAGAGATTTTTTGAATAGTTGAGTCTGGAGGTAACAAAGGTATTTAGGGTTTTAGCAGCTGATGAGCTGAGTTGGAGCATTGTTCCTGAGTTGGAAGTAGATGATCTTAGTGATGGAATGCACATGCGAGCAGAAACTCCACTGGGGTTAGATATGACACCCAGGCTATGAAGAGAATGGGTCAGCCTTGGGGTGAGGTATGGAGTTGATGGCTCTGAAATGGATTTTTGGAGCATAGCCCAGAGACAATGGCTTCGATCTTCCCAATATTTAATTGGAGAATATTTCTTCTTATTTAATACTGGATGTCAGAGAAGTAGTTTGATAACTTACAGTGGGAGAGTTGAGGGAGATGGAACTCAGTGTACGTAGTCATTGTCATACAGCAGAGAAACAGGCCCTTCAGCCAACCTTGTACAGGCTGACCAACAAACACCAAATTACACTAACCCCATTTACCTGCACTTGGTCCCTAGCCTACTATGCCCTGATATGTAAGTACTCATCCAGATGCTGCTTAAATATGGTGAGAGTACCTGCTTCTGCCACCCTCTCAGGCAACCCATTCCATATTTCTACCATCCTCTGGGTGAAAAAATTATTTTTCACATCTTCTCTAAACCACTTCTCCTCACCTTAAACTTATGCCTTCTGGTTTTGCACATGTTTACCATAGGAAAGAGTATACCTCAATCAAACACATCCCTCACCATTCTCTGCTCAAAGAAACCAATCACAGCCTATCTAGTTTCTCACCATAACTGAGGCTTTTCATTCCAGGTAATACCCTAGTGAATCTCCTCTGCACTCTCCCCACCACAATCTTGTCTTTACTGTAGTGTGGCGACCAAAGCAGCACACAGTACTTGAGCTGTGGTCTAACTAAAGTTCTGTGCAGCTCCAACATAATGTCCCTGCTCTTATAATCTATGCCATAACTGATAAAGGCAAGAGTCCCATATGCCTTCTGAATTGACCTATTAACTTGTCTGTCACTCTCAGTGATCTGTGGATGACACCCCAAGATCCCTCTATTCCTTTAAGCTTCCTAGTGTCCTGCCATCTTCTGTAAACTTCACCTCATCCAGAAATTCCAACTTGCTCCAAGTCCCATTCACCTATCAGTGCAGTGCTCACTTGTGTATAGCAGCTTCCATTTAACCTAATACCTATTTTAAAATTTTCATCCTTGTTTTCAAATCCCTTTCTGCTTCTGAGATATCTGTGTTCCTCCATACTGGCTTCTTGAGTATTTCCAATTCCAATATTTCCACCATCGGTAGCTGTTCATTTATCTGCTGAGGTCCTGAACTGTGAATTCCCTCTCTAAACCTCTGCATCTCTCCACCTGTCTCTCCTCACTTGAATGTTCTTTAAAACCTATTTGACTAAGCTTTTGGTCACCAGTCCTAAAATGTCCTTTAGCTGTGTTCCCTTGACGTTAGTTGGGACACTGTATCTGAGGAGCTGTAGAAATGCAGTGTTATGGTTAAAGATGCCAAACTGCCCTGTGCCTTTAATGGTGGCAGCATGAAGCAGCCCTGGGATCTTTGAAAATGACTTTTGTAATCCAGAGACAAGCCACTGGTGGTGAGGGAGAAATGGAACAGACCATTTCCTCCTCCTGGAGTTTTCGTGAGGCAGTTAGACTATTCCACTCCTTTCTGAGGGAGGCAGTGGAAAAGTGGACCTGTCACTTTTGTGGGGCAGAGCTTGCGTGTAGTGTCTCCATCTGTCAGGAAATCTAGAACAAAATGTATCCTGGCATTCTGATTTCCCAGTCTGTCTCCTTAAGCCAAACCTGAAGCATAAATTGGTAGCTGGTTTTCTGTTATAATAACTGACAATGATTTTGTATAAACTGCAGGTTACCCCAGTGTGGAGCCAGGCTCCCCAGACGATGTGGTGACCTTATTGGAGGATCCCAATGAGAGGAAGCGGACAGAGGGACGTTCAGGGGCTGTTGCAGGTACCTGACATCCAGTGGAACCTCACATTCCACCCCCAGGTCCCTGTATTCTGATTTCAGTTCAGTCTTCACCTCGTTCTGTTTTGACTATACTCATTTGTAAACATAACTAACGTCTCTGCTTGTTGTGAGGGACTGACCAATGCAGTTTGGGCCGAAGGGCCTGTTTCCATGTTGTATTATTCTGTAACTTCAGGAAACCCTGCATGCACAGATTGCAGCACGTTTACAACCAGAATATACCCTCAATGTAGAGACTGAATCTCAAATTTCATTATGAAACACCATAGAGTTTTAGTCCCTCTATCTAAGGGAAGGTATACTGACGCTGGAGGCAGTAGGTTCACATGGAGGTAGGAGGCACTGTCCCATAAGAAGAATCACAGAATCAGAGAAATCCTACAGTGTGCAAAGAGGCCATTCGGACCATTGAGTCGGACTGATTCTTGGAAGAGCATCCCACCCAGACCTGGCCCCTGACCCTATCCACATAACCCCACATTTACTATGGCTCATCCAGCTAGCCTGCATATCCCTGGACACTCATGGGGCAACGCCTCATCCCAGGAAATGGTCTTATTGTACCATCTCTGGGGAAAGTGTTCTAAGATAAAGAAACCAAAATTGCAATCAGTACTCCAGCTGGCCTTACTAATATCCTGTAAAATATGCAAGGACTGCAATTAACAAAACCATAAGATGTAGGAGCAGAAGTAGCCCATTCAGCCCATCATATCTGCTACACCATTCAATGAGATTGTGCCTGATCATATAATCCTTAAATCCAATTATTTGCCTTTTCCACAGAATCCTCGATTCCTTCATTGATTAAAAATGTGTCTATCTCAGCCT